ATCAGTACTTCACGGTGTCGACATAATTCTCAATAGTTTCAGATAGTTTCTAATCTGTGGTTAAAGCAAAAGTAGATGTTAAGCTTTACGCAGGCAGCTTTGTGGCCTTCATCAGTTGAGTATGTTCAAGAACGTGCTTGTGTTCTTCCCTTTAGGTAAGTGGGCAAAGTAGAAGTTTGTTCATCCATCGACACCAATGTGTTGACTAGTAACCAAAAGCAATTTTTAAGGACTGCTTGGGTCGGAAAGTCTTCAACTTTGGCCTTTGGATGATACAGAAGGGTTATATTGAGTGAGTTTTTGAGGAACACAAAGGGGTGATTTAATTAGGAAAGTATTTTGATGGACAGAACTGTTTACCACCTTGCATATACAAAGCTCATTGGATAACTTGACCATTCTGCCATGGATTTTCCGGGCATGATTCTTTGCTTTCTGGAGTTACAGCTAATGATTGCTTTCATGATTGTTTTCAGTCCATCGAAGCAGTTGCTAGATTGAAAGCCAACAACCTCTTTGGCAAAATCTGACATTTTATAGGTTTTCTGCCTGCTGGGTCTGACATTAAAGGACCGGTGTATCTCTACACCTCCACCATAAGCAGTAATGCAGTTCCTTCTGTTTTACACCAGTATTGAGGGCAATGTGTCCATGCATGGCTATGCCAGCTTGTTTATACTTAATTGGCAGAGGCTCTGTACTGTTAATTAGTCATAACACTTCATAGTGCATGGTTATCCATGTTTTAATAAGTGTGACTGTTCCTTGCTTACTGAAGTGCTACCATACAAATGCTGGATACCTTTGTATTTTGTTGGTTGTATTATAGAACATGGCACTGCATTCGAAATCTGACGAACCACAATCCAGAGGAGCAGGCTTCAGGGAACTGTTTGTTTCCTAGATAGAAAATGGCAATTTCCTGTTAAAGCGGTTATTTTCCCAAGACAATTGGCAAAACCTACAGTTTACTTAAAGGTCTCACAGTAATGGGTGTTTTTAGCAGCGCTTGGTGGGACTGTCCTAGTGCACATGGATGGGACTGGTCAATATAAACTCATGAAATGTAAGTGGTCATTCCTGTCACTTACTATCCAAGCAGCATACACTTCTCTTCCTTGCTGCTTAATTCAGCTGCCTGGAGCAAGGAAATACTCATAACTTGTATATGTAGGAACCTGTTACTTCCTTTCTATGTGATGGTGCCAGGCAAGTTGCCCAGTGCTGTAACATGGAAAGTGCGCTCAGCCCTGTGCAAGCACTGACAAGCAAACTTGAAGCTCTTGCACAGGGTGGTTTTTTCTTGCTACCGATGCTGCAGGGGTACTAAGGAAAGGCGAGTGTGTTCTGCTGGGTTGACTTCCATGAGCAAAACACAAGATCACCTTAAATGCTGGATTCACTTTAGACATGACTTGGATGAGCACAATGTGTTGTGTGCTGATCTAAGTGATCATTATTGACACTTGCATTCCATGGAGAGGGATCGTTTTAGTCCTGGCACTAGATATTAAACTTTCACATATGCACACATGGCCCTCAGTGTTGTTTGACGCACCCATGACTACAGTCCCTAAAGACTATGTAGTACAAAGCTGATGTGTCAAACTGCAAGCTACCTTTCTATATGTATACTTACCACGCTGCAGCATGGGGTACGACCTCCTATGTGGTCTTGAATGTGGCATCAACTAGTTTTACCGAAGTCTTTAAAATGTTTCTCTTTCTAGTGGATGATCCCTTGTAGTGATACCAGTGTTGAAACATTGAAACCTGATTCAAAGAATAACATCATCCAGTAAATTGTCTAATTCCCATCCTGCCCTTCCTCCTCCATTTTTCTTTGCCTGAGTTAGTTTCTGTTAATATGGGTTTCACTTTGCTCTAGGAATAATTATTATAATAAAATACAGTTTGTTTTTTTTTGTTTTTTATTTTGTTCATTTTTGACTTGAAGGACAAAAGTGTGTTAATTCATAATGGAAAGTTTAGGAGGAAACATCCAAGAATTTAAAAAAATTACTGATATTAAAATACATTTGTAAACGTTAAAAACAATGCTTTATGATGTACCAGTTTTTTTTATACACTTTTAATATTGTTGCTTACTGAAAGTATTTGGCAGATCAAGTTCCCTGAAGGATTCCTGGAAGCAGAATTAATATCTAAATTCTCCTCCTAACAATATTTATTTGCATTTCAGATTAAGTTACCCTCTCTGGGGAAAGGATGTGTTTTGGGTCCACTGATGGCTTGAAGAGTCGCTGATATCCATAATTACTCCAACGTCCAGTATTGCAGCATGGCCACTACTTCACTGTAGGTCAGTGCATACAGATGCGAGTCATACAAAATAGAAAAACTTGATTTCCTCGGTTCTTTACAGCTCTGAATCTTTCTTTCAGCCGCTAGATGGTGCTGTACATATAGCAATAAATGAACTACCGTGCCGATAAGAAATGACCACATACAAGAGATGCTGGAACTTCCATGTTGCCTTAGACAGCAGCCATGCCACAGTGAATCATTCTGTGTTTCAGGTAGCTTATTCTCATATCGAGGCTTCAGGTTGTTCTCGGTGGGTAAAAAAAAACAAACCCACAGAAATATATTTTTACGTATTTACAATATAGGAATATCCACAATTAGGGATTTCCTGATACCGGTACTAGCATCGGTATCGGGACCGATGCAGGGCATTTTGAAAAGTACTTGTACTTATCAAAATGCCCCGATACAAAGCGCGGAAGCTTATGCTATGTTTTTATTTTTTTAACTTACCGTGTCGTGTCACTGCTGCTCCGGTGGGCGGCGCTCCAGGCAGTCGCCGGCCACCTAAATTAGGACTCCACCTGGAGCGCCGCCCACCGGAGCGGCAGTGCCGCAACGCTCCTTTCCAGCTCAGTGCCGACGACGTCCTCACATGTGAGAAAAATCGTGAGGCAGCACGATCAACGCAAAAGTGAGTAAGACGGGGTCTGGGCTTTGTTCTTGTTCACACAAAAAACTATCTACTGCTGCAGTGCATTCTATATGTACTGTATATGTGCTACATATAGAATGCACTGCAGCAGTAGATTTACAATTATTCTCTGCTAATATGAAGGGGTTAAATGATCCATAGTACACAACATGTAGTTGTACTATGGATCATTTAACCCATTCATGTTAGCAGGGGATTATTGTAAATCTATTGTTGCAGTGCATTCTATATGTAGCACATATACAGTACATATAGAATGCACTGCAGCAGTAGATTTACAAATATCATTTGCTAATCTGAATGGGTTAAATGATCCATAGTACAACTACCTGTTATGTACTATGGATCATTTAACCCATTCATATTAGCAGAGAGAAATTGTAAATCTACTGCTGCAGTGCATTCTATATGTACTGTATATGTGCTACATATAGATGCACTGCAACAATAGATTTACAACTCTGGCCTGCTAACATGAATGGGTTAAATGATCTATAGTACAACTACATGTTATGTACTATGGATCATGATTTAACCTATTCATGTTAGCAGGGCAGAATTGTAAAGCTATTGTTGCAGTGCATCTATATGTAGCACATATACAGTACATATAGATGCACTGCAACAATAGCTTTACAATTCTGCCCTGCTAACATGAATAGGTTAAATCATGATCCATAGTACATAACATGTAGTTGTACTATAGATCATTTACCCCATTCATATTAGCAGAGAGAAATTGTAAATCTATTGCTATAGTGTACTGGACGTGTGTAATGTATATGTAGTACATATATACAGCACACACCACCACCACACTACAGCAATAGATTTACAATTCTCCCCTGCTAACATGAATAGGTTAAATCATGATCCATAGTACATAACATGTAGTTGTACTATAGATCATTTTAAAGTCGCCTGTCCCTTTAAAAAAAAAAAAAAGTATAGGTAATTGGTATCTGCAAGTAAATGAGAGGAAGTATTTGTACTTGGTCCTGAAAAAGTGGTATCGGGACATCCCTATCCACAATATGTATGTATATGAACATCGGTTTTGCACTTTTGGCTGAATATTAAGTTTGCCTTGAACTTACAAAAATCTAAATGTATCAGTGCTGTTGGAAAACAACGAGTATACGAAGTTCTATCTCCAAGGGGCCCTGAGCTTAATTTACAGCCCAGAATCGTTCTGTTACATACCCTTTACTAGAGGTGTGTATGGTGCATGCATGTGCACAAATGTGGTGGGG